CAACAACAACAACTGATCTCTCATAGGTGGTAATGGAAACTGTGGTGACCAACAGAAACGATTCATCAACACCCACCCTTTCCTCCCAGAAGCACTCAGAGCATGCACCACACATGCCATAATTTATGTACACTTCTATCTGTATAGTTTATCACTAATTACCAGTAAACAAGCAGTTGCCATCAGCTCAGCTCTGCCTCATGATGATCCCACGTATGCCAGGGTAGAACTGTACTCCACTGGGTTATCAGTGGTTGAGTTTTTAGAAGTAAATCAGTCACAATATGTGGACATTGTTGAATGGGAAACAAAACTGTGTAAACCTTCACCAAACCTACAGTGAAGCTTCATTAAAACCATAACAACAAAACCAAAAGTGGTTATGAGAGATTTTTCGTTCTTCAAGTTTTAGGTGTCTTCAACATGCTTGACTATGTAATCGTACAACATGTTTGAATTAATTAATGGGAGAGGGGCAGAGAAAAAGAAGAAGTTAAAAAGTTCCTCTTACTTGTTGCTGGAGTCCCACTCGTAGAGGCCCAGGTGGACAGCCCAGGTGTGGTTTGAAGAGTAGAGGAACTTCCAGACAGGGTACTGAAGGTGGCTGTTGTGTTGACCACATTAGCACCTGTACCTGTGGTAGCTGAATCAGTGATCTCAACACTTGTAGTTTGTAGGATAGTGGTTGGACTTGGCCCTTCTCCATGACTAGTTTTAGAAGATGTTGGTGCTTCTGATGGTATCAAGGTCACACTGGCTCCTGGAATCGTTCTGGGAGATTCTGAGAGTCCAACTGAGGTCATGAGTGGTGAGGTTTCTGTGTTCCAGGAAGTTACAGTATTAGGTTCCCTGGCTGTTTCAGGGACAGTGACAGGTCCAGGTACACCAGGGGAAGCAGTTAGGGTTGGAATACTTGTGTGTTCTGTGGCCTGTTCTGTGGTCTCTGATAAACCAAGGGAAAGAGTTGATGTTGAGATACTTGAGGTGGTCTTTGTCCCAGGAAGGGTGGATAATGGGGACGTTTCTGTGGGACTTCCAGATGAAACAATTGGAGATAGATTATATCTGCTGGTTGCAGTCCTGGGTTCAGTGAACAGAGAAGATGTTGTCTTTGCTCCGAGGGATACAGTCTGAGCTGGAAAGGCTGTACTCATTTTCATGCCAGGTGTGTTCACTAGCGAGACTGTAGGTTCTGAATTATGAGGAGCAACAGTAGAAGCATGAATAGCTGGGCTTGGCTCTGCACTGGAGTGAGTAATCAAGAAAGTTGAGGTCTCTGGTTCGCTGGGAGAAGCAGTTAGCATTTGGACAGTTGTACTGCCCTCGACACCAGAACTAGTGACTGAGGAGGTGACCATCCCTGGTATACCAGCTGAGGCAGACTGAGAGGAAACAGATGAACTGAGCTCAGTCTGAGAATGGGTGACTGTTAAGACTGTGGCCTCTGGTTTACCAGCAGAAGTAGACAGAGTTGGAGCAATTGTACTTGTCTTTGCCCAAGAACTAGTGACCAATGAAGCTGTCATTCCTGGTCTATCTGGGGACACAGGAAAAACTGTAATGGATGAACTAGTTTCTGTCTTAGGATGGGTGACAGGTAAGGCAGAAGTTTCTGGTTCATGCAGTGAATCAGTCACTGTCGAAATACTTATGCTGGTCTCTAGTTCAGAACCAGTGACCAGTGAAGTCACCACTTCTGGCACACCAGAGGGAGCAGTTAATATTGGAGGAGTTGAACTGAACTTAGCCTCAGGGTGGGTGATTGGTAAGGCTGTGCTTTCTGTTTCACCAGGAGAAACAGCTAGTGTTGGGAAAATTGTACTCCTGGCTGCCTCAGAGCTTGTGACTGATGAGGTGCCCATCTCCGTCACACCAGTGGAAACAATCAGAGTTGGAATGGCTGTACTGGTCTCAAGCTCAGGATGATTGATCAATAGGGATGTAGTTTCTGGTTCACTAGAAGAAACAGTCAGAGTTGAAGCTGTTGTAAGTGTACTGGTCTCTGTCCCAGAACTAGTGGCCAATGAGGTCATCATTCCTGATAAATCAGGTGAGGAAGTTGGAGCAGGAGCAGATGAAGTCACTTCTGCTGTTGGGTAGGCTATTGATAGAGTAGATGTTTTTGGTTCATACAGGGAATCTGTGAAAGTTGGAAGAGTTGAGCTCTCTAACCTAGAACTGGTAACCAGTGAGCTCATTACCTCTGATACACCAGAAGGGACAGTCTGAGTTGGAACTGGGTAAGTGACTGGTAAGGCTGTGGTGTCTAATTTACCAAGAGAAGCAGTTATGGTTGTACTTTTTTCTGCCTTAGAACTGGTAGCCAGTGAACTCAACATCTCCATCATACTTGTGGAAGCAATCAGAGTTGGTATGGCTGAACTAGACTGAGTCCCAGGATGGGTTACTGGTAAAGATGTGGCTTCTGGTCCACCAGAAGTGATAGTCAGAGTTGGAATAGTTCTACTGGTCTCTGAGGCAGAGCTAGTACCCAGAGAGGCCATAATTTCTGATGAACCAGGGAAGACAGTCAGAGTAGGAATATATGAACTTGTTTCTGTCTCAGGATGAGTCCCTAATGAGGCTGTGGTTTCTGGGTTACCTGTGGAATTAGTCATATTTTGAGTCTGACTAGCTATACTATTCTCTTCTCTGGAAATAGTTACCAGTGAGGTCACCATCCCTGGTACACTTAGTGAGACAGTCAGAACTGGAACAGAACTTATGTGTACATGAGAATGGGTGGCTGGTAAGGTTGTATTCTCTGTTTCATGCACGGAATCAGTCCTAGTTGCAAGTGTCGTACTTGTCTCTGCCTCAGAGCTAGAGACCAGGGAAGTCATCATCTCTGTTAACCCAGGGGAAACAATTAAAGTTGGAATAGCTGACGTGGACTCGGTCCTAGGAAGGCTGGCCAATGAGGATGTGGTTTCCGGTTCACCAGGAGAGAGAATCAAAGTAGAAATACTTGCACTGGTCTCTGCTTCAGAACTAGTCACAAAGGAAGTCACTGCTCCTGGTTCACCCAGAGAAACAGTTACAGATGGAACAGCTGGACTGGACTTAGCACTAGAATAGGTGACTGGCAAAGCTGTGGTCTTTGGTTCATCAGAAAAAACAGTCAGCACTGGAACAGTTGCACTTGTCTCAACTCCAGAGCTTGTTATCAGTGGAGTCACCAGCTCTGTCACATCACTGGAAACGATCAGAGTTGGATTGGCTGAACTAGACTCAGTCCCACGATGGCTGGCCAATGTGGGTGTGGCTCCTGGCTCACTAGTAGAAACAATGAAAGTTGGAATAGTTGTACTGGTCTCTTCCTCAGAACTAGTAACCTGTGAGGTCACCATTCCTGATAAAACAGTAGAGATAGTTGGAGTTGGAACGGTTGAACTTATGTCTGTCCCAGGATGGGTAACTACTGAGGGTGTGCTCTCTTGCTGGCCTGGGGAATTAGTCAGGGTTTGAACAGCTATGCTGGTCTCTGCCTCGTTGCTAGGGACCAGTGAAGTGATTTTATCCAGGACACCAAGTGAGACTGTCAGAGCTGGAACAGAGGAGCTGGCTTCTTCTCCAGGACTGGTGGTTAGTGAAGGTGTGCTGTCTACTTCACTGTGGGAAATTATTGACATTGTCCAGGAAATATTTGGGCTGGTATCTGCGGGATATGTGACCAAGGAGGTGGTTGTATCTGACTCGCCAGAGGCAACAGTGAGAGTTTGGATAACCGTGGTAGTCTCTTCCATAGAACTAGTGATGGGTGAGGTTACCAGGTCCTGCTCACTAGATGAGACAGAGGGAGACGAAACTGATGAACTGGTATGTGCCCCAGAATAAGAGGTCAGTGGGGCTGTGGTTACTGATTGACTTGGGGAATCCATCATAACTGGAATAGTTGTACTGGTCTCTGCCCTAGAACTAGTAGCCAGTGAAGCATTCTCTCCATGCTCACTAGAGGAGATAATTGGAGTGGAAATAGCTGAACTGGACTCTATCTCAGAATAAGTGGTCAATGAGGCTGTGGTTACTGACTGAACTGGAGAACCAGTCACAGCTGGAATAGTTGTACTGGTCTCTGCCCCAGAACTAGTGACCAGTGAGGTCACTGTATCCAGGACCCCAGGTGAGACTATCAGAGTTGGAGCAGTTGAAGTGACTTCTGTCTCAGGACTGGTGTCCATCGAGGTTGTGGTATCTAATTCACCATGGGAAAGATTTTGGGTTGTCCTGGGGACAGTTGGGCTGTTCTCTGTAAGATGAGTGACCCATGAAGTTGTTATCTCTGACTCATGAAGTGAATCAGTTGGTGTTCCAGAAGCTGGGCTGGTCTCTTCTCCAGAGATCATGACTGATGAAGTTTCCGTTCCTGAGAAACTGGGCAAAATAGTAAAAATCGGGACAGTTGCGTTGACTTCTGCTCTTGGTGAGGTGATTGGTAAGGCTGTGGTTTTGGGTTCATGCAGAGAATCAGTCATCATTGGACTAACGGTCTTCTCCCCAGAGCTAGGGACCGGTGAAGTCACCACATTCAGGACACCAGGTGAGACAGTCAGAGTTGGAATCATGGACATTGAGGGTGTACTGTCTGCTTCACTGGGGGAAACACTTGGAGTTGTCCTGGGGACACGTAGGCTGGTCTTTGAAGAATCTGTGACCATTGAGGTTGTTGTGTCTGGTTCACCAGGGAAGTCAGTTAGAGTGGAGATAGCTGAAGTGATCTGGGACCCACCATAGGTGCTTGAAAAAGGTGTAGCTCCTAGCCCACTTGGGGAACCAGTTGGAGATGGAATAGTTGTACTTGTCTCTAACCCAACACTGGTGATTGATGAGGTTACCATCCCTGGTACACCAGGAGAGGTTGTTGGAGTTGGAACAGCTGAACTAGCTTCTGTTTGAGGATTGGTGGATGTTGAAGGGTTGATGTCTGATTCACTACGGGAAACATTCTGGGTGGACCTAGAAACAGTTGGGCTGGTCTCCATAGGATGGGTGATCCATGAAGTTGTCACTGGGGAATCAGTCAGAATTCCAAGAGCTGGGCTGGTTTCTGCTGTATAACTTGGGATCAGTGAAGTTGTAGTGTCTGATTCACCCTTGAGAACAGACAGAGTTGTCCTGGGAACTGCTGTGTTGGTCTCTCCCTCTGGTCTAGTGGCCAGTGAGTCTGTTATGTCTAGAAAATCAGGAGAGACAGCTGGGGATGTGATGACCAATCTTGTTCTGCTGGAGCTGACTGTGTCATTTGATGTCCCAAGGGCAGTCAGCATTCCCGAGCTGGGAGTAGAAGCTGCGCTGGTCAGAGTTGCTGTGCCTCTCATGGATTTCAGTGTTGTGGTGGTGGTCTCTGTTCTCTCTATCCCTCTTGTAGATTGTCCTGTGAATTGAAAAGAAGCACAGAATTTGGGTAAGATCATCAAATTTCTTCCTGGACTAGAAATGGTTTGTTTTCCCTTCATATGAGGAAAAAGAGAGAAATGCCTCTCTCTTAAGGCTATCTGGTTTGCACCTATAATGCTTTTGGAATGAGAAAAGAAATTATTGGTGTTAACCTATCTGCCTTGCCAAGTTTGGAGCTAAGCCTTCTGTGAACTATTCTTAAAGATTTTCTATCTTCTGCAGGCTTTGAACCTTTGTTCAAGTTATTCTCACTGTTTGAGATTAGTATTTCTCATAAATACTTACATTTTGACCTTTCTTCAAAGCCCTTATCAATCTACCTTCACAGATTTACATTAGACTACATTTCCTCCTCATCTCAATATTTCCTTACCACATTATCTAAACCTGTGATGTATCACTCCTTATAGTCTGTTTGATAATAGCTATTGATGTCTGACTGATTAATATACAGCATATGCTTAACAAATACTTGTTTGTTTAATTAATTAATACATTAATTAATTAATTAATACATAGACGGATGAGTGCACAGATGTGTGTATGCTTAAGAGGGTATCCTCTGACCTGAGAGAGATCATATATCATGGTGTTTGTGAGCTTTGGCTCTGGAAAAAGTTAGTCTGACCCTCCCACTCACTAGATGTGTAACTCTTTGTATTATCAAACCTGTAGACCTCCAGTTTGCTGTTAAAAAGTATAGTGCATCCTGGTTCAGAAGGATAGATTATTATTGCTAATATTTGTACTGTTATTACTATGACACATTATTACTATAGTATTGCAGTTACTGTAACCATTACTTCTATCTACTATTATATTAGAACAGGCAGGGCCAGTCCTTGAAAAAAGATATTATGCTGGCAAAGGTAGAAGGTCAGAGAAAAAGAGGAAGACACCCCCCCCCCATGATGAATTGACACAGTGACTGTATAACCATGGCCTTGATCTTATCAGTGATCATGAAGATGGTACATGATAGGCAAGGTTCAGATCTGTTGTTGATAGGGCCACCATGAGTCATTGTAGGCTTGATGAAACCTAAGAACAGCAACAGCTATTACTGTTGTTATTATTATTAGTGTTACTACTCTTATTACTATTGTTGTTAGGTGCCGTCAGATTGAGTATGGCTCATAGAGACCCTATGAACAACGGATCCTATATTCTGTGCCATCCTCACAGTCTCTGAGATACTCAAGCCCATTGCTGCAGTCACCGTGTCAACCTACTACCTGTTGTTATTATTATTACAGCTATTATCATGGTTGCTGTGATGCTGAACACTGTGACTCTGATGTGCCAAATGCAATGTTGGTCACCCATGGCAGACAGTGTTTGGTGGGGCTCCCTGATTAAAACAAGCTTGGAAGCAGGAGTGGCATCCACTTCCGAAACAGTTTGCCTCTGGAAACTCTATGCACTTGGAGAAATGATGAAAGTTATACAAGTGTTCAGGTCTTCCATCCATAGGCTCGCTATGAGTCGCCTACGACTCGACGACACATAACAACAACAATAACATTATTGTCTAGAGCATCAGCACATAACGGGAAGACACTGTATTAGATGGATTGATGCAGTGACTGTGGCAATGGGATCAGGTGTGTCTGAGATGGAGAGACTGGCTCAGGATAGGTTAAGGTTCAAAGCCGTTGTTCATCAGGTTGCGATGAGTTGTAGTAGAGTCAATGACAAATAACGGCAGCAGCAACATTACCGGTATTATGATTATGGTGGTGGTTGTGAGCCATCAAGCAGCTCGTAATGACCCAGTGAAGAACAGAGTTAAACACTGTGTTATCCTGCGCCATCCTCATGATCTGCCCTATGCTCAAGCCTGTTGTGCCAGTAGTCCTTTACTTAGAAAAAAGCCTTCACACGAAGGCAATGGAAGTATGTAGATAATTGATTTTGTGGCATACTCTTGTTGAATGTCTTGGCTAACAATCCAATTAATTATCAATAGAAACATGTGGCTTATAAACTTACTAGAAAAGAAAATAGTCAATGTTTAGAATACTGTAGCAAGAATTGAAGAACTCTATTAATCTATTTCTTTAAACAACCTGTTTTGACACCAGATATGGAAAGGAAGGACCCAAACAGGATACTCATACATACCCAGAGTGGCCCCAGTCTTCTGAGATGTAGAGTCGGAGGTGGACCACAGGATGCTGCCAGGAACTCCTTGAGTTGACTCTCTCGTAATGGTTTCTGCAGACTCAGCTTCACCTGAATTAGAAGAAGACAGAAGGGTCAGCTTTGCATTTCCTCAGAATGCAGAGTCACAAGACACTGGTTTGAAAATGTGCTCATTTGTCTCTGATAAAGTTCTTAAAGAATAACCATCTTTCTATTTAAAGGATGGTAAAGACTTCGTTGTGGTAAAAATGTGCAAAACAGAACTTTCACAACTCAACAATTTCTATGTATACAATTTAGTGATGTTGATTATATTCTTCATGCTTTGCAATCTTCTTTTCCAAATTATTTACCACCATCATCAGCAACTCAATCCCCCTAAGCATAAAGTTTACCCTTTCCCATGTCTGGTATCCACTAATAAATTCTCTGTCATTCAAATACACGCACCAACAACCAGAACCAAAGACAAGGAAATAGAAGATTTCTACAAACCTTTGCTGTCAGAAATCAATCAAACATGCAGTGAAGATGCATTAAGAATAATGGGTGACTGGAACACAAAAGTTGGGAACAGGAAAGAAGGATCAGTTATTGGAAAACATAAACTTGGTGACAGAAGTGGAGCTGAAGACAGAATGATAGATTCTGTATAGTCAATGATTTATTCATCGAAAATACCTTTTATAAGAAACATAAACACAGCCAATATACATGGATTTCACATGATGGTATGTGCAGGAATCAGATTGTTTACATCCATAGAAAGAATCACTGGAGAAGCTCAATATCAGCTGTGAAAACTAGGCCAGATGATTTTTGTGGAACAAGCCACCAACTACTCATATGCAAGTTCAAACTAAAGCTAAAGAAAGTAAAATAAAATCCACAGGGACCAAAATCTGACCTTGAGTCTGTCCCACCTGAATTTCAAAACCATCACAGGAACAGATTTGAGGCTTTGAACATTAATGAGCAAAGACAAGAAGAGCTGTGGGAGGATAGCAAGAACATGATCCAAGAAGAATGTAAAAAGTCATTGCAAAGAAAGAGGATGAAGAAAAGACCAAGAAGGATGTCAGAAGAGACTCTGAATATTACATTAGAGCACCAAGAAGCCAAAATAAAGGGAAGAAATCAAGAAGTTAAGGAGCTGAACAGGCAGCACTGGGAAGACAAAACAAAATAGTATAATGAAATGTACAAAGAACAAGAGTCAGAAAA